AAAAAAAAAAAAAAAAAAAAGGGCCTGAACCATTGCCGGAGGACGTGTGGTCAGAGAGATGCTCACTCAGTGCTAGCAAGAGGCAAGGTGAGAGAGAGAGAGAGAGCACTGTATACCTCCAGGAACCGGTCAGCTCAAGATTCATTCACCTGCCAACCTTAGCACCAGCTTGGTTACGGACCTGGAGAGCTCTGGGTTACCTTTGAAAGGGCTTCTGCAGAGCAAGCGACTGGGATCTGGCTCCAAAGGCCACCCAGGCACTCCTGGGTCGGGCAGAACGTACCTTCCCCTGCACCCGCGGGCACAGCACCACCTCCAAAGCATCCTTCACCGTTCTCTGCGGCGACAGGGAGGGCTCTGGACCAATCCAAGGAGAAAGCTGCCCGTGACGGCCTACACACTGCCTCCCCATACCGGCGTGAACGCAGCGCACCATTTCCAGACCAACCGGTCCGTTAGCAATGACACTTTTCTGCAGCTGAATTTAACAGGGAGGAAAACAACCTCTTAATCCCTTGGCAAAGCTTTTCTTTTTTTTTGGAGCAGATGCACAGAAGACGACGTTATGAAACAAGGGGTGTGTTTTTTTTTTTTTCTCTCCGCCTCCTCCAAAGGACAAACTATACAGTATGCAGCTTATATAGACTCTATAAATATATATACACGCACTTAAGCACAGAACACAGCTCAAGCTTGGTTAGAGACCTTCCCCGAAGCAGGGATCGTACAGCTAAGAAGCATCCGTGTAACAACTTGAATGCAGTCTGGTCAAGTTTCTACCAAAATAAGGGGAAAAAACAAAAAAAACCCAATCTTCTGAATAACTGGTTTGGCTATTACAGAGTTTGATAATGTATCAAGAACATTCCTGTATGCATGTGTCCGCGTGGGTCTGCAAAGTCAGCAGAGGGTTGGTGGGAAAAGACTGTTGTAGAAGAGCGATCCAGTTGGGGATGGGCTAGGTTTCTCTTGGGAACGTTGTAGTGTCTAGTCCTTCTCCAGTATCCCTTGTGCAGGTGTCCTCCTGGCTCTCTCAAACAAAAAAAAAAAGTGCGTGTGTGTGTGTGTGTGTGTGTGTCTCTTCAGTCAACCCTCTGTGTCTGATTGTGAGCGTATGTGCGAGAGCGAGAGAGCGTGCGAGAGCAATGCCGTGTTGGAAGCTTGTGTTTCTATAGTCCATGTTTACTGATTGTACATACCATTTTTATACTTAACATCTATGATGTACGTGATTTGTATAATGTACTTTATTTCTGCTACAAGTAATTTCATGACGTTTGGACTGGAAATCTAATTTTGAACAAAAAAAAAGGACAAAAAAAAAAAAAAAAAAAAAAAA